TGTAAGCCAATGGCAGTTGAACTCAGTTACTATATGCAATTCAGGTTAGAAAACTTCATTTCTATTATTTCTGGAACAGAAAATTTCACAGTCATTTGATACGTCTTTCCATTCCTATGGCACCATCTTTGACTAGGGTGCATTTCTCAGGGGTCTTTACCACTGTTCTGAGTCCAAGCTCTTTAAAAAACAGAATTCTACACCAACATGGACAGTCCTAGAACTCACTACACTGTGTCCTGTGTCCATCAGGGACTGATGCACAAAAGAGCAGAAGATAACTTCCTAGTGATTCCTATCAGTGTTTCTGACAAAAGGTCAACTGACTGTTTCCAGACAGAAGAAACACATGGCATGGTTCATAAACAAACGCCACGGGGAAAACTCCGAGAAACCAGCTGTGTTCCGGCAGAGGAACAGGCACATCCAGAGTTCCCATCGACAGACTCAGCTAGACTGTAGTATGGAGTTTCTGCTTTTCAAACCTTTTCTCCACAACCTCACCTTCTTACTTTTTTAGTACCACTATTTCACCAAGGTCTCTCAATATTTACTAATATCAATAACCTCAATTCTTAGTGATAGTAAGTGTACATTAAAATTTTTTTAATTGATATTTTTTGGCAATGTGACATACTCATATTCAGAATTTGAAAGGTACAAAAGGTATACAGTGCAAAATTTCCCTTTCATACCTATCTCTACAAACCATATTTTTCACCCTGGAAGCAACCAAAATGCTATTAGTTGTGTGTTTTTTTTTAACCCTTCTACAGCTATTTAATGCATGTTCAATTAAATACTAAATATATTCTCATCTAGCCTTTTTTACACAAATGTTAGTATTCTGCATATGCTGTTTAGTGCTTCCTTTTTTTCACTTACTATTATATATTTTGAAGAACATTCCATTACATAATGTTTCTTTTTTAAATAGCTGCATAGCATCCCATGGTATTCCAAGTTTCATAACTATAATTTATTAAATTTATTCTATATAGATAACATTTAGGTTATTTCCAATCTTGCTATTAAAATATTGCCACAATGATTAATAACCTATATTTTTGTCTTTATACACATATGTGAGTATAACTGTAAGATATATTCCTAGAAGTGGAATTGCTGAAAGAGTATGTACACATTTGCAATTTTGAAAAACACTGCTAAATTATCCTTTGCAGAGGTTGTGTCAATTTACATTCCCACCAGCAACGGATGAGTGCCTGCATTCCCACCCTTACAATATAGTGTTATCAGATTTTGTTCTTTGCCAATCCAATATGTAAAACTATATATATATGTGTGAGCATAATTTGTATCCCATACATTTTAGTATACTTTTAAGAACCAATTATATTTCTTTTCCAGTTAACTGATGGTGGTAGCCTTTGCCCCCTTTCCTGTTGAGTTGTTGACCCCTTTTAATTATTGACTTGCAAAAACTCCATTTATTAGGGAAATGAGTCCTTTGACTAAGAGTTGCAAATATTTTTCCTAGTCTGTTGTTTGACTTTGCTTATTATGGTTTTCATCATGAATAATTTTCATATTTTTATGCAGTGTCATTTAACTATTTCTAGTTGCTTCTGAGTTTTATGTCATATTTGGAAAACAGAATACACTATGTTCAAGAGTTGACCTGTTTAGCAAGATATCTTTCCCTTCCTCATTTCAGTGATTTTTAGGTTTTTCCAATATGACAGAAAGTTAAAAACGTAAAATACATTGGGTTTTGGTCTCGTCTTCCAATTTTACTAGAACCCTTCTAAGACCAGAGAAAGAGAAATCTTTTATTTTTTTATTTAATCGTTTAGCATTCAAAGAACAGCCTACATATTTCACTTGATTTTTTTTTTTTACTAAAACAAATCTTAAAGAAAGACTTTTAAATCTTACCAACAGTAATTATCCGCAGTAGGGTTAACATCCACTTCTTGTTAACCAATTTCCAGAAAGGATTAATTGTTAGGAGTATTGGAGAAAGAAATGCTATGCCGAAACCTTCAAGCCCAGTAAGTTCTAGTGTTTGCAGAGGAAAATAATAAATCATCGGGGCTAGGCCATGGCAGAGAGACCAAGAAACATACCCTAGGGGAAAAAAAGATTTTTCAGAGAAAGACAAAGTGTAACTTTATCATGGTTCCAAACAGTCACCCTGCGCCTCCACACCTGCTCTAGCTGGCTGCTCTCCTTCACAGCTATGGCCCTCCCTTGTTTCCAGTAAGAGAATTCCTCCCCTTGGCCAACAAGGCCAGGCTGATAATGGCTCCCCGCTGTTGTGAGTCCCTGAGCATCGCTGGTTTGTTCCTTTAACCTTTTACAACCCCCCCTCCCCCATAAGTCGTCCCTTTATTAAAGCCTCTTTGTTTGGACCATCTGGGTTGAATTTAGTTTCCTATTAGGATCTTGGCTGATAACATTTCCTTACCTAAGGTGACCCTTCTAGAATGAGAAATATGAAAATCGATAAGAGCAAGAATTAGCAGGACACCTTCTTCCCACTCCAGGCTACATCCAAAGGCAGGCTGCTTAGGCAACAATCATTTTCTTGAGAGTAGACTATTTCAAACCCGGCCCTTAGAGACAGTTCCAGGCAGTGGAATGCCCAGATCTGAAGTCAGTTTCACCTCTGCCAACTACTGACTGTGCAACCATTTACAACAATGATAATTAATGCTAATGGGCACTTACCCTGTGCTGGGATCTGTGCTAAGGACTTACTTGGATCATCTCTCTTATTCTAACTCACATGACCCACGTGCTATGGGCTTGACATTATTCCTACACCTCTCTGACAAAGGCAAGAACAACCAACAACAAAAGCCTCCCAAGACTCGGAAAGTTAAGTAATTGTCTAAGGTCACCAAAGTAGCAAAGGCAGAGTGAACTTAAACTCCACGCAGTTGGGCTCCAAACATAGCCTTCTAACCACTAAGTGTACTAACTTTCTCCCAAGTGACTTCGCAGCCTCCCTTTATTAGTCAGCAAAATAGCACTTTTAACCGCCTTTTAACAACGGGGTCGTTAGGATTAAACGAGATCAATGTGTACAAGGAGTATCTAGCACTAGCCTAGGGTAAACTTAAGTCGCTTTACATCGCCGTACCTTCAGATACAGACTAAGCCAGAAAAACGGGAACTCTGAACATTACCAGCTCTCAGAAAATCAAGTTCGCAGGAAGGCGCCCCTCCCAGGCCAGAGGAATGCTTGTTTCTCTCTAATGAATAGAGAGATTCCAGTGATTTCCCAAACGTTGGTCTGAGAATTCTGATTTTAATCATACAACGCCGACAGAATTACACCATTAATTGTTCTTGGGATTTTTTGCAAAGCTAAATAAGCACACAGGATTCGTGTTCGATGCTTTTCAGCCAATGCCCAATAAATGTGCAGCCACCACCAAAGCCACTCGTGCCTGGCAGACAACCAGCAGAAGCTACCGCCCTGTCTGCTCACCTGCAGCCGCCGGGGGAAACAGGTGCCCCTTTCCTTCCGAAAGTTGGAATTTGGTGCTCAATTTTATTAAGTTAAACATAAAGGTCACGGGTGCGGGGACTCGGGGGCATACCAGCTGCATGGATTCAAGGCCGATACGTAGAGAATTCCCGGGCTTTGGGCGCAATCCCAGAGTGGCGTGGGAACACGGGAGGCAACTTCTCCCACAGGCGTCTCGCCGAATCCTCGACTTCGGAACCTCAATCTAGGTCTTTTCTTATCTTTTTTTTCCCCCCTACTGTAGCAAAAGTTCCCAGGGGGACGATAAGCATCTCTACTCTGGGCACCAAGCGCGCTTTTCTCCTTCGCGAAGCTCAACCAACCGAGCCGAGCGCAGCGGCTCCGGGCAGGGCTGGGGGCAGCGGGCACCCACGAACGCGCGGGAAGGGCGGCCTCAGCTTACCTAGGAGGGTCTCCAGGAGGATTTCTCTCCACAGGGAGCGCATGTCCGCGGTGTGGAGCGGCCGGTTCTAGGAAGGCAGCAGCGCCGGGCCGCCGGCCGCGCACACCCTGCGACTCCGCCAGCCGCCGCGTCCTCCCGGGCCTGCCTTCGCGCCCCACGTCGCGTCGCCGAGTCCGCGGAGGCCAGCCCGCCCGCGTGCAGAGCCCAGGCGTGGGTGGGGCTGCAGCCCGACCGCCTCCGCCCGGCCACACCCAGCCCAGCGCAGCCCGCCCCGCCCGGGCGCGCAGGTGTGCGGTGCGGTGCGCTGCCGAGGCCGCCGTCGCCTCGCGTCCTGGGGCTGCCTTCGCTGCGCTGCTCCAGCCGGTGCAGGATGCCTTCGCCAAAGCGACTGCACGCTGCAGGTGACACGCGTCCCGGCGCGGGGACGTAGAGGACCCCGCCGTCGGGCAAAAACCAGGTTGTCCGGCTGGCTTCCAGAGCCACCCTGGGATGGAGAACAAGTGCAACTTCAGACGGGTGATCCCCCGGTTTAAACGAGGCCCACGGGGGTGCGTTGCGAGGGGAAGGCTGAGGAGACTTAGATGGGACAGCCTGGAAGACGGGCGCTGGCGCTTTGGGCGAACAAGCGCGAACAGGACCTTGGCGTTTTTCAGGCTTGGGCGACTCTCCAGAGGCGAGCGGCCTCCTGGGAGAGCCACCCGACTGCGCTTCTGCTTTTCAGTGTGAGTCAACACATTGGGTGAACAAATTGCATTCCTGAAAGGTGGCCAAAACATTTTAAAGCCTACAGGATTGTGTGTGCCTTTTAGAGACGTCCCAACACTTTCCCAGGGGAGAGACAATATAACCTGGGCGAGTGGAAAGTCTTCCCTCCTCAACTTTATGAATATAATAACCTTGGAGAGTGCGCATCCTTGAGAGCCTTTCTCATGAACAATGGCGTGAATAAACTAGCAGGTTATTTCTCACTCTAATATTACCACACCCCAGAATGTCTTGAATTTTTTAGAACCATCTCAAAGCAATTTTTTTGTTAGTTTATCATTTATCACTTCTGAAAAATTTGCTCTGAAACTAAAGTGATGGATTGCCTAAAAGTGTAAGAATCACTTGAGAGCAATAATTGCTCTAAATCCACAGCAGTTTTGAGCAGAGTTCCAAATCACTTGCTTTCTTTGTCACAGGATAGACGTATGGATCAATGGAATAGAATTGAGAGTTTAAAAATAAACCCTCTCATTTAGGCTCAAATGATTTTCAACAAGCTTCCCAAGACAATTACATGGGGGAAAGGATAGTCTTTTCAATAGTGCTTCTAGGACAACTGAATATCCACATGAAAAAGAATAAAGTAGGACTCCCCCCCCCCATAGCGCACCATATACAAAACTTAACTCAAAATGGATAAAAAAAACTAAATGTGAGAGATAAAACTATAAAACCCTTAAAAGTAAACATAGGAGTGTATCTTTATGATCTTCAGTTAGGCAATGGACTCAGATACAACACCAAGAGCATAAATAACAAAAGAAATAATACATAAATTGAACTTCATCAAAATTAAAAGCTTTTGTGCTTCAAAAGAACGTTATCCAAAAAGTGAACAGCCAATACACAGAATGGGAGAAAAGATTTTTGAATCATACATCTGGTAAGGAACTGTTATACAGCATATGCAAACACACACACCACAACCACACAACTACAACTCAATAATAAAAAGACAACTAACCCAACTTAAAGTGAACAAAGGATTTGATAGGCCTTTCTTTTAAGAACATATACAAGTAGCCAATAAGCACGGAAAAGATTCAATAGCATTTCATTAGGAAAATGCAAATCAAAACCACAATGAGATAGCACTTCACACTCACTAAGATGGCTATAATCAAAAAGTCAGATAATAACAAGTGTTGACAAGGATGTGAAGAAAATGGAACTTACCTACATTGCTGGTGAGAATATAAAATGGAAAACAGTATGGTAGTTTCTCAAATGTTGGCACATAGAGTTGCCATATGACCTAACAATCCTCCTAGGTATAGGTATATACCCAAGGGAAATGAAAACATACATAGTTTGTGCACAAATGTTCACAGAAGCATTATTCATTCATGCTAGCCAAAAAGTAGAAACAACACCAAAGTGCAACAGCTGATGAATGGATAAACAAAATTGGCATATCCATACAATAAAATATTATTCAATAATAAAAAGGAATGAAGTGCTGATATATGCTACAATATGGATCAACCTTGAAAACACTGTGGTAAGTGAAAGAAGCCAGTCAAAAAATAAATCACATATTGTATTATTCCATTTATATAAAATGTTCTCAATAGGAAAATTTAGAGTAGCTGAGAGTAGATTAGTGGGTGCTCAAGGATGGGGGGACAGGAGATGAGAGAAAGGGAACTAATGGATATATAGTTTCTTTCAAGGGGGAATAAACATCTAAAATTAGATTGTGGTGGGGCCAGCCGAGTGGCTCGGTGGTTAAGAGTTGGCATGGGAGTGCAAGTTTTGAGCAGCAGGGCCACCGGTTCGGTTCCCACATGGGCCAGTGTCGCTGCACCCTCCACAGCTAAGATGGTGAACAACAGCTCAAGCTGGAGCTGGGCTGCTGTGAGTGGCCAACGATGGCATGGGCTGCCATAAGCTACTGTGAGTAGCTGACAGCTGGCGAGAGCTGCCGTGAGTCACCGTGAGCGACTGTCCAATGGCCGGCGACCAACTGCCTCAGCTGGGAAGAGTGCAATGATCACAATACCAACATGGGCCAGTGAAGCTACGTCCTCCATAACTAGACTGAAGAACAAAAGGACAGCCATTTGTCTGTTCCCCTTCCCCGATTCCCCAACACTGTTCCCCTCCCCCAATTCCCCAATAAAATCTTTAATAATTAATTAATTAATTAATTAGATTGTGACAATGGTTGCACAACTGTGTGTATACTAAAAACATTGTATCGCATATGTTGCATTATATGGTATGTGAATTATATCTCAATAAGGCAGTTTAAAATGCAATTTGTTCTAGTTACATTTTGTAAAAATATTTTGGCTGGGCTCCAGTCATTTAGTATCAGGCATTCTTCAATGTGTGAAGGACTTCAGTGACTGAAAACATCAGACATTGCATTTCCTTCCTCTCTGCCCACATAGGTTTATTTTCTGTGCACCCACATGAAAAGCACCTATTTCCGTATTGTGTGTGCCTAGTTGGTGCTCTATAAAGTTTGTCCTTTCAAAGCTAAGAGCTAGGAAAAGCATTGCTTCTACTAAGGAGGCAGTGTGTTTTCTCTTCCACTCAGAGCTCAACTTTTCATCTTAATATTTTTTTTCTTCTTCTCTTTAACAGTTAGATCACAGCTAACTTTAAGGGAATCTGGAAAAATTCAGTCTAGCTGTGAGCCCAGAAAGGAAAGGAACCAAGTTGTGGTGAGCAACTGTCTGTCTTTGCTGTAAAAACCTATTTTATACATAGTGTCATTCTGAGGTTTAAATAGATCAAGTACTAATTCACTCAGCGCATCGCTTATGGAATTCACAATACTTGTGTTGTTACCTGTATGCCCCTCATATACATATGGTAGGTTAGTACATGTTTAGTAATGACATCAATAGCCTCTCCATTCTGAGATCATTTTAATTGCCTTCTCTAGGCTTTCTCTAATCCTTTGATTTATTTCCAACTGCAGGGATGAGAATGGCACTCAGTATGCCAAGGGGAATTCCATCAGAGGGATTTATCCCCTCCCCTTCTACAAAGGTATAATAACGTTTCAGTTGTGTTTGCAATAATTTTTTTGACTTACCATTTTTCCCTCCATGGCGCATTGTGGGAAAGTTTATCATAATTCATGATCCTTTCCTATGTAGCTAGTTAAATTTGAATTATTGTTCCTGTAGACGGTTAATTATGAAGTTGCTTTTAATTTCATTGTCAAATATCATAAGTCAAGTGGATTGCTCATGAGAACTTTTAATTATCTTGTTCTCCATTGAGTTTCATTGCTATTTAACCACTTTTAATTATTACACACAGGATATGAGTTACTGTATAACTGAGAACAGCATCATTCGGTTTGACCTCTGTGAATGCATCCATTATATGTAAATTCACTGCTGCTACCTTGCTTTTCATATTTACGGTCTGCCTGGTTATAATGTAATTTTGAAGGCCATGATCTTTTCAATTTTGCTGGAAACCCTTCTTTGACCTCAAGCTGCTCTTTGCAGGCTTATTGTACATGGAAGTGAACGGAGCCCATTATGGCGCTGCCCCCTGCTTCTTCCTTCCTCCCCTATTTCTTGGGGCATGAACACGTCAAGTTCGGTCAGAACATATTGAAACTATTTTTCATATTATCAGAAGACAAAAATCTCTACTAGGAGATACTTTTTATGGTATAATAAAGATCTTCTAGTCTAGCAAAACACAAAAATGCTTTTCTTTGAAAAAATGAAATAAAAAGAAACCCCTGGGCTGGCCAAGTGGCGCGTTGGTTAAGAGCTGGCTTGGGACGCCAGAGGGCCCCGGTTCGGATCCCACATACGAGGGCCAGTGACACTGCCCTCTACAGCTAAGATGCTGAACAACAGCTCAACCTGGAGCTGGGCTGCCATGAGTCGCTGGCGACGGCGTAGGCTGCAGCCCCTACTGCCATGGGCTACCGTGTATAGCCAGCATCCAGCGTGAGTGGCCAGCAGCTGCTGTGAGCCACCGTCCAAAAGCCGGCAACTGATCTGCCTCACCCGGGAAGAGAGCAATGATGGTGCCAACTTGGGCCAGTGAAGCAACTTCCTCCACAACTAGACTGACGAACAAAAGGACAACTTGTCTGTTCCTCTTCCCCCAATTCCCCAGCGCTGCTCCCATCCCCCAATTCCCCAATAAAAATATTTTTAAAAAAAACCTTCCTGTCACTTCAAACTCTCAATTATGCTCATTAATTTTTTTGAAAAGCATCTGTGCCACTTTAGGATAAGCCAAGTTCATGATTTCCGATGACAGATGTTTATTTCTCACTCACATCACATG